GTAATTTTGCTTAATATTGGTACAAAGCAATACTTAAAATTATTGAATAATATCTGATGCTGGATTTGAATATAGTCAATTTTTGGTTAAGGATCAATTATTTTTTCAGTTTTGATTACTTGTTACTATAAAAGAATTCAGTAGCAATAGTCTCATAAAATAATTTAACAACACTTAGTGTTACAAAAGCCGAAATGGTAGGTGAAGATTTAAATCAGGTTTAGCAAAATGCAATTTAAATATTTTCTAACATTAGGAACTTATTTAAGTAATTCATATAGGCTTTACATAAATTCTAAAGGATTGTAAGCACGCTGCGTGTTATATAAAATCATTTTTGGGGTGTGCGATAGACTTAACTCCACGTGGTGCACACTGGGCAACGTACTCATACGGCAAAATTCTATTAACCCACAGTTTATATTCCACCACTTCCACATTACTCATTTTACCTTTTCTCTACCTTAGTGTCTGTCTGCCTCTTTTGCATCCTTGAATCACTCTTCTGTTCCTCTATCGAATTTTTCTCTCTTTGATGTCCCTTCCACTCTGTGGAGCCTGAGGTCCTCTTTTTGTCACCTTGATGTTTCTCCTCCTCTCTATGAAGACCGAAGTCAGAAAGGGCTAATGATAGCTATCAAAACGCCTGCCATTTGATGTAAATAAATAAATATTAAGGTATTTAACACCAATAACGTACGAATAATCTATGTGACATTACAATCAATAATTAACTCTTTGCAGAGTTTTATCTTAGTATTGCTGCTACCTTATCCATCAATTGAAATCTCACAAAACAAAACTCCACTTTCTCCTTCCTAAATTGTTTTAGGGTTTTGTTACATCACTTTCAAACCTTGAGCATATATCAATTAAATTTGTGTTAAAAATGTGTTAATTAAAGCCAGTTTTTAAAAATTAATTTAAATTTAAATCAGTTTTTAATTCAGGAAACTTTCATTTCGGTAAAATCGATTTGAAGCATCATTTCACAATTCAGCTAAAATGTCATAATAGCACATTTGTGTGGTGTTCACAACACTACTGCCAAGGTGATCAAAGGCGTGTTAACCGGCAATCAATAGTGCGATAATAATACTACTTAATGATTACACGACATATGACAGTTCAAGAGTGTGTTGTAGATTCTCCGTGTCATCAATGTTAAAGTCACACGCAAGTTTATACTGGAGGATTTTGGTCAGAGGTAATTGTCAAGATTTAATCAAGGATAATTCATGATTGAACCGCTTAAAGTTTTGGCGTTAATGAATTTATCGTTTTTCTCACCTCCACTGAAAGCATTCATTGTGAAATATATTCAACTTACTAAACTGCCCTTTCCTAATAGAATATCCCCTCAGTGACTATTGTATAATTGTAGTTGACTTTGGATAGGTGAAATATGATTCAGTTCAAGTTATCAGTATTTTGCTTTTTGAATCGTGGGAGGGCGATTGGGAGGTCAGTAAAAGAGACGAGAAGTGGGTGAAAATGCGGGCGTCAGATTGATTTTGACAGGAGCATTTGCCGAGGCTGTACTCAAGGCAAATTACGATTAGTCACCCACCTAAATCGCTCACACCAATGAAGACACCTTTTGCTTTTATTAAAATAGATCCACCTTAAAGGTGAATACGCGACAATATTGTATTAAAGGAGAGCGAAATAGCGTTCTTCATTAAGTCGAAATATACAGGGAAGATGGCCTTGAAATTTAAATTTCAATATTACGTCTGTTCTTAAAGCAGTTTTAGGGGGCACTAGTGTTCTAGAAGAAGCTGTCAGTCAGTCAGTCTTAACTCTTGTCTAAAATTTCAAAGTTATTTTGAAAACCTCAATCGCAATTATATCAATTTTGTTGTGGAATACCAACAGTGCACATGACGTAGTAATATACGACAATAACCTTAACAATTATAATTATTTTTTTTCTTTTTGTTTACGATAACACATTAGAAAAGATCTTTTGTGAGCTTTAATTGTTCAAAGAAACTTGGAATAGACAATATTCGCCAAATTGATCGCCAGGATATCAGCACACATTTGTCTACGATGATTAGTTCCTATTGGTGGATATTTTTAATCTGTGGGCGTGTCCAATAATAAGAATAAACATTAGTCACATCATCCGTTAAAAATAGATGAATTTCAGTCGATGATCAACCGTTCAATTAATTAAAATACCATTATTAATATTGTTGGTACCTAAAATTAATAATTATTTAATTGGGGTGTGCGATAGACTTACCTCCACCTGGGCAACGTATACTCATACGGCAAAGAAGTCTATAAACTGGCAGTTGACTTCTGCCTTCAAACTACCATCACCCCACTGTATGTGGTCATATTCGACTACTTCCACAGTACTAGCCTCACTTTTTTTTCGACCTTTGTGACTGTCTCTGTTACATCTTTGAAACATTCTTCTGTTCCCCCCCCCCCCCCTATGGACTTTTTTTCACTTTGATGTTCATTCCCATCTATGTAGCCTGAAGTCAACTATGGGGGTAATGATAAATATCAAAACCCCTGCCATTTGATATAAATAAGTAAATAATTAATTAATTAGTTAATTAATATTTGCTCATACCCAAAGTAAAAATTTCCTTCACCTACTTTTCATGTTGAATTTTACAGTCACAAGACTTCACATATGACACTTTTTGCCGAAAAGTACATTTGTTAAAGAATTAAAACTAGTCTTTCATCTGGTCAGTGGCTTATTCTTATCACATCAAACATGCTTTTAGTGAATCAACAATTGACAGAAAAGAGACTCAGTTCAAACCTAATCCTTTTAATTTCATAGTTCTTTTTAATAGCATGCCATTATTGGCCATTTAACGACAAGTGAAGCATTAACGATATCACCGAAAGATCGGAAGTCACCATCCTCGAAGATCAGGAGCTATGCAGATATTAAAGCAGTTTTATGACATTTTGTTCCTAAATTAAAAGCCTATTCTGAACTTCAAGAATGGTAGAATCGTTCAACCTACGATTTGGATGATGAGAGAGTACGGTTCGTTTGTGTGGACTTAATTTAAGGCGGATTGTAAAATTTCATCACTAATCTCGAATAGAGTTCTGAAAATCCCGTTTCCTCTACAATTAAGACCCCAAATTGTGTGGGAAGTGAATTAAATTCAATTGTCTTTGTGCTGAGTTGGAAGCATTCAAATAAATCCTTTTTCTTGTGTTTGATAAACAGCTGCTTGTGCCAATTTAATACCAAACAAGTTTGCGAGTTAAATCAGGAGAGTTGACTAGAACTGTGTTCGACCACCTGCTTTTTGTGAAAGTCATTCCAAATATATCCAATCATGAAGGACTTATCAGGCCTCTACAACAGTAGCCATCCCACTGGACAACAATCAACAGAAACGCTATTTCCTCTAAAATTAGATTTTCCATTTTACATGAGGCAGTAACAAAATTGTTTCAAGGTGCTATATCGCCCTTTAAATGAGACGTGTAAAAGTTTTACTACTTAATTCTAGAGATAAAATAACAAATTTCCATTGGCCACTGTGTATTTGTATTGCGCAAGAACTGAACTAACTCCCAATGTAAGTAAACACATGAGCACACTTGTTAATAAGTTAATATTTGAATATTAAACCAATATTTTTAAAAAAATAGCGTCGACATCACTCCAAGTTTCAGCTAATTTTACGGGACTAAAGGCTCCGGTCAAGAAGAACAAACCGGAAGACAATTTAATCTTGAATTTTTGCATTTAAGAGAAATATTTTCTGAAATTGCTAAGTGTTGTGAAAAAATCAAATATTTTCCACAAATGCACCTAGTGTGGGCACATGCTAAACTATTAGCAAACGCCCACGCAAATGACCTTGAGGCTAATAATTTGATTGGTTTTGGTGAATCGGTTATTAAAGGCGCACTATGCAGTCGTCGCTCATTTCGTGTTGGGCTTACCTGCAAGTTGCCGGTTATTTTGACACTTATTTTCTGTTTGAAACTCGTTTTACCTATTTTTTATTGGATTTACTTTGTTTTGTTTTGCGAAATTTATTTTATACTAACTTCTTACTATTGAAAGTGCTATTACTTCATTAACATGCTTTTAGTTATATCATGTTATAGAATTCTGAACCCAATATGCAGAAATGTCGTATCAGTCCCCATAATTAATTTATTCCAAGAATGTAAAAATCGAAATAGCAAATCTTTAGCTTGAATAATGCCGAAATCATATTTAGTTGGGCGTTAGTGCATAGACGTTCCATAGCTGTTTCTGCATTAATTAACTATCTTGTCGTGACAAAGTTTCATTCTATAATTATACCTGTTTATTTTCAATTTATCATTACAACACAGTTTATTCGTTATTAAGTTACTTCAATTAATATCCCACACTAAAACTGTGCTATGTCCCATGTTTTAGGTCGTTTTGCTAACTATTTTTATCCGTTCAAGCTTTTAGGTTTATTTAATTTAGTCGCTTTAAGTATGTTTAGATCATGTTTAGTTTAACCCTACCATGCTTCTATATCAGTTGATTAATTGCGTAAGCTTTGTATTCTCATGCGTTTCCATGGCTACTTTGCATACTCGACACCCGTTTAGCCATAAGAGTGGGACTACTCTTTCGGCATTGTCATTTGTCTGAGCCACATCCGCAAGAAAATCGTACGAATTGCACTTTAGAAATTAATGGCAATTATTTTCTATGCCCAAAGAAACTTTTGAGTAATAGTTATTGTTTACTTTTAGCCTTTAAATTTCAATGTCCGGATATAGACCTCCTGTAGGATTCAACCTCCCTCCAGACCAGGGTTATCCACCGATGGGTGGTGGGTACCCTGCCTATCCCCCCGCGGGTGGTCCAGCTGGATACCCACCTCAGGGCCAATCCGGTTATCCTCCTCAAGGTGCCGGATATCCAGCTAGTGGCCCCGGTCGTCCGCATCAAGGCCAAGGTGGTTACCCACCTCAGGGCCAAGGTGGTTACCCACCTCAGGGCCAAGGTGGTTATCCACCTCAAGGCCAGGGTGGTTACCCACCTCAGGGCCAAGCTGGTTATCCCGGCGGAGCTCAAGGTTATCCACCACAAGGTCAAATAGGAAATCCTGGCTTCGGATCCTCCACACCATCTTATCCTGGTTATGGATCCACTTCGCAACCATTAGCCCCACGTATGTGACTTTGATAACAATTTCAGTAGCTTGATATGCGCTTTATTGAATTCACATCCTTATTATTATTATTATTATTTAACTGGGACAATCAGATTATGCTTATGGTAAGTCAACTTTAACACCGGAAAAACGAAAGATTTTTTAAATCTTAACTAAATTTTCATTAAAACTCTCTCCGGTAAACAGAGCAGCAGAGTTTTCCCTATGGCGGCGGTAGGTTAATAACTTGATATAACACTAACCGTATAATTATTTAAAGCCTATTTCACATGTTATTTATATAGACCGGCAGTCATATAGCGGTTTTGGTAAAAATAATTTAACAAGAATTAACCACTGAAAGATAAAATAGACTTTCAGTTAAAGCCCATAGTTTCTAAGTGGGATTTACTTCAACAGATCCAAAACCAAAATCAAATAGTGGATCTAGTAAGTCGCCTTGGATAACAAATTTAGATCTAACTAATGCCATCCGCGTTATATAGCGTTAGATGTACTTTAGTTCAACTCTGCCATAGATTGTGGGGGGGGGGATAGTTTATACCCTCCTTCGAATATTTTCCCAGTAGCAGTTTTGGTCGACAGGATTTGAAGCAATAAAGGAGAAAATTATGCGCAAATTAAGTGACGCTCCATGTACACATGAGTTTAATTAATCCGCTAATTATCCCATGTACTTTAACGCATTTCATTTCCTTTAGCACCCAGTTATGGAGCTAGCTTCTGTGGTATGGGAGCAATGTCATCGTACTACAGTGGACGTCCAACCGTTCGTCCTGTTGCGAATTTTAATCCTAGCAAAGATGCGGACGATCTTCGCAAAGCTATGCGTGGTTTGGGTAAATTTGAGATCCCCTCACCACTACTATGCAATTGAATTTTCAGCTTAGTAAATGTAATGAACGATATCTTGCTTTTTAGGCACCGATGAAGCAACAATCATCTCCATCCTTTCAAGCAGATCTTTTGATCAGCGTGTGCAAATCGCGACCAAATATGTGGCATCGTTTGGAAAGGTCCGTTATTATTCAGTGTCGTTTAGCAAACTTTACTGAATCTCTCTCCCCNCCCCCCCCCCCCCCCCCCCCCCCCCCCACCCACCCATCTCTCGATATTCCTCATGCTTTACATAGACAGTTGTGAGGGTAACTTAGGTGAATAGGATAAGGAATCGATTTTATTTGCTATTGGGTTACACATCGTCATGGTATCAACAGCAACAAAACTGCCATTGTGTGCTAAGAAGGCATTTTTAAACAGCGTGAAGTTCACATAAGATTTCCTTAGCGACACTTACTGGCATGGGGTTATTTAGTTTCAGTAGTATCTCGTACTTATTGAATTAGATGTCAACACGCTCACGCTTTTATCGACGCTAATTAGTTTTAGGAAGTTCAATAGGATTATTAAAAATAAAACACCGATTTATTGAATGCAAGTGTCGAGTACTCATTTGGGTTTATCTGGTGCATTATTTCTCTCTCAGGGTCAAGGTTAATCTTTGTAGACAAATGATATATTTTCACAGATATTGATTTTCTTATTCATCTAGGATCTCAAATCTCACCTCAAGAGTGAACTAAGTGGCAAATTTGAAGACTTGGTTCTTCTAAGCATTGGAACCCTCTCGGAAATGCTTGCAACAACAATTTACAAGGCTGTTAAGGGTGCGGGCACTCACGAACAACTTCTCATTCAAGCCATCATTCCCTACTCGAATCCTATCATCAGAGGAATTGCGCCTGCCTATCAGAAACGTAGGAATCTATCACTTGCACTTAAATTAGTCTCTTTGAGCACTTCATTATTGCGCTTTCAATTAGTAGATATCTTGCTTACATTCACCCTCTTTTTTCTTCACCCTGTAGTATTCGGGCGCGATGTAATCCAAGATATCAAAAGCGACACGAGTAGAGATTTTGAGAAGATTCTGGTTGCAATGCTTCAAGGACATCGTGAAGAGAATGTAAATGTTAATATGAGCGAAGCTGCTGCGGATGCTGAACTGCTATATAATGCTGGCGAAAAGTGAGCGAGTTATTTTTGCCTCCTCATTATTATACTCCTTTATCCCAAACCGGGGACGGAGATCTGCATATAAACAGCAGGGGAGTCTTTGATTAGGGGTGATGAGCGATTTGCGGTCCCTTCATACTGTTTAAAGTGTGCCCAGAGTGTGATTTGTGTGAGTATGGGAAAGTAGCGGAATTCCAGAGATCTCCAAATATGAAATCCGCATAAACTTATTTATCGATCGTCACAGATTACTTAAAAGTTCATGTCTATTTATTTCAAATGCCAGGTGTTTTGATAGTTATCATTAGCCCTTTAGCTGACTTCGGGCTTCACAGAGGGGTGGAGGAACATCAAGGCGAGAAAAAGTGGGGAGGGGGGGGGGACAGAATAATGATTCACAGATGTAAAAGAGACAGACAGACACAAAGGCATAGAAAAGGTAAGATGAGTACTGTGGAAGTGTTCGAATATGACACACAGTGGGGTGATGGTAGTTTGAAGTCAGTAGTCAACTGCCAGTTTAGACTTTTTTGTCGTATGAAAATACGTTGCCCAAGGTGCACCACGTGAAGGTAAGTCTATAGTCGAGATCAATTGTTTAAAATTTAAATAGATCCACTCTCATAAGTATTGGGATAACTCTTTTATTCGTTTGTATAAATGCAAATTATGATGTCAGGCTTAATCTACTTCGAAGGAGATTTTACAGCCGGAAGAAGCATTTCCATTATTTTCCTATTGTGAAACAATGTCACTAATTGGAGTTTCTCTGTGGTGCTTAACTACGATTCTTCCATTTCCTAAAATCTCTATTTACATCGACTATTTTACATTTATAGAATACTAGGAACTGAGGAGGCAGTCTTCACAAGAATTCTTGCTCAAAAAAGCTTCGAACATATCAAAGCCGTCAATGAAGCCTATCGACAGGTTTGTTCCTCTCATCATCATCATTAATTCTCATTTCAATTGTAATTTTGAAGTCTCAACTCCCAAACTCCATCTTATTATTATTGTAGCGATTTGGCCACGGTCTGGATAGGGCCATTAATAAGGAAACATCGGGTGATTACAAGAATACAATGCTTGCAATCGGTAAGCCAATTTTTTTAAAGGATATCTGAAAGGTAAGAAATTGTAGCCGCCAGACGTAATATCGCTTCCTAGATTTTTGAAACAGATCACAGATCAATTGGTTGGAGTTTATTTTTTATTATTATATCAAACGGCAGGCTCTTTGATAGTTATTATTAGCCCTTAGAGCTGACTTCGAGCTTCACAGAAAGGAGGAACATTAAAGTCACAAAAAGTGGAGAGGGTGAACAGAAGAGTGATTCATTGTTGTAAAGGAGACGGACATAAAGGTAGAGAAAAGGGAAAGGTAAATATAGTGGAAATAATCGAATATGACATGGAGTCAGGTCATGGTAGTTTGAAGTGAGAAGTCAACTACCGATTAATACGCTGTCTAGGGTTTACCACGTGGAGGTAAGTCTATCGCACACCCATTTGGTTGAAGTAAGTGTGGTCAAACCGTCGCAATAAGCTCGTTTCCAGTGGCCAGAAGCAGCTAGTTAATATAGTTAAGAGGTTACATTAGCATGGTTAAAGTTCACTCAAAATGCACCCGGTGCACTATTGATTCGCTTGAGAGTGCATCATCTAGTATGCGTGATTCTGTTCAATTGCAGTAAAATGGGTGTTGTCTACATTTGCTAGGTTTAACACAATTCAACTGCCGAAAAAATGGCAATTTAAGCTCTTGTTTGCTATCGATTTATTCCATTTTATATTTTAGTTAACTTTGCTGTGAATAAGAATGAGCTTCTCGCTGAATGGTTCTACAAGTCGATGAGGGGACTGGGTACCGATGATTGGTCCTTGATGCAGTTGACTCTGGGTCGTTCTGAGGTAAGCTAATCGCGGATTCCTCATTACCGCTACTCTCAAAACGACGCCTGTTTTTTTTGGTGGGGGGGGTGTTTATTTCTCTTAATTGTGCTTGTTTTTTTGTTTTCTCTCTTTTAAGATTGATCTTCAAGATGTGAAGGAGGCCTATCAAAGGAAGTATGGAAAGACTCTGTTAAAGGCAATTGAAGGCGATACCTCCGGGGATTATAGACGAATGTACCAGGCGCTCGTTGGAAATTAGATTTCTTTTCGCAATTTTCTATTAATATTACTTCTCTCCGCATTCCCATAACATTACACCCTTAAGTGGATAGGGATGTTTACCTCCTTATTCTGAATTGTGTGTGATTTTTTTTCGAGGTTATTAAATACGACTCCTATTTCTACCATTTGGTGGTGGTATTGTTTTACAAAATGTAAATGTAGAATTTGTGTGGAGATCCATTTCACTGCTGCACTTTTCTAATGCGTAAAACTGTGTAATTCTTGAAGAAGGACGTGTCAAGTCAGCCTTGAAATGGATTGGTCAAAGGTGAATTCAAGCAGAGATAGAATACACAATGGTGCCATACTTGAGTTAAGAGTTATTTTATTTATATCGAATGGCAGGTGTTTTGATAGTTATCATTAGCCCTTTAGCTGACTTTGGACTTCACAGAGGGGAGGAGGAACATCAAAGTGACAAAAAGTCGAGAGGGGAACAGAATAATGATTCAGAGAGGTAAAAGAGACAGACAAAGGTAGAGAAAAGGTCAGATAAGTACTATGGAAGTGGTGGAATATGACAGACTGGGGTGATGGTAGTTTGAAGTCAGAAGTCGGCTGCCGGTTAATAGACCTTTTGCCGAATGAGTATACATTGCCCAGGAGGTAAGTCTACTGCGGACCCCATTGCAAGCCTTAGTTGGTGTAAACAGTAAATTGTGCAAAGTCTGATAAATCACTTAACAACTCTTTAGTACCTTGTCCGCATTCTAGGTTAACTGTATGCGCATACTCCCTGCTGTTTTAGCCACAGCAACGCGTGTTCTCTAAGAATAAAACAGTCTGCATTCACTGATCTTTTTAAAACCTATTAGGTGATTACTTAGATTAGGCACATTTTGGTTTTAAGACGAGGCTGTAATTGATCTTAATCAATTAAACCATTTAGATCATATGAGAAAAGGAGTTTTACCGCATATGATTACGCAACTGGTGTTAGCGCACCTTTTAAGTTATAGTGTCAGCTCATACTTGAACTAATTGGAAGCCAACAGTTAGCATAATCAACAGGAGTAAAATCTGTCATATGAAACACAGTGCTGTTACATCAGATTTGAAAACCTACAGTTACAGTTGAAGGAGATTGACTCATCATTAAATTTTTTCAATTTTTTTTCTTCAATTAAATAGTCTAGTTTGATTTGCTTATTTGGAAGTCAATCTTACTTAAATATTAACGCGCATACTTGCTTAATTTGTGAAGAATATACTGCTACTACAACTGGCCGAAGGAATCACTCCCTCCCTAGTTTGCTCTGAAGAGAGCGGCAGACTATTGATGGCGTATTGAGTTTGTGCAGTGTAAGTACAAGGACCTCATCACACCAAACCTACTATAAATATTTTTATTGGTGTGCGATAGACTTATCTCCACGTAGTGCACCCTGGGCAACGTATTCTCTTACGGCAAAACAGTCTATTGACTGGCATTTGACATCTGACCTCAAACTGCCATCACCCCCCCCCCTCCCCACTGTATGTCATATTCGACCCCTTTCACAGTACTCATCTTACCCTTTCTTTGCCTTTGTGTTTGTCTCTTTCACGTCTTTGAAACACTCATCTGTCCCCCCCCCCCCTCTCGACTTTTTTCACTTTGATGTTCCTCCACCCCTCTGTGAAGCCTGAAGTCGATTAAAGGGCTAATAATAACCATCAAGTCGCCTGCCATTTGTTATAAACTATAAATATTTATTGGGCATAACGTTAATTGAACTCGATTACTTAACATTTTATAATATCATTGTCAGCACGGTACCCACCCCACCCCACCCCCTCTGTTCGTGCTACTTTAGCACCAGGCCATCTGCTTTTGAGTGCAATTTATCGTAGATAACCCCATCAATGACTAATTGTACTTGTCCTCAGCTAGATAGACCTGTAAAAGGACCATTAAATGCATAATGCACACTACGCATTATATACAGCCTCGATCACTGCAATTAAGGCACTCAATATTTATTCATTTGCTATATGATCTCATTTTTCCTGAAATTTTTCCATTTATCTGCAACCTGTGGTATTTATTTCACCTCCCTAGGGCTCTCCTACAAATTCAGCTGGAGCAGCGCCCAAGAGGCATGCCATGTTATTGTAAAAAAGTACTAATGTAATGTAAAACCATTCAATTATCGCCTTGATCACATTTTGATTATTATATTTCGCTTAATTAGCACGCTTAACTACTATTGTTAGCGGGTAAAATCATGTTAGGGACAGCAGACTGCATCTGATTTCATGCCCCAATTAACTGTTGCACTAGGTTACACGAGTACTCTTAATTAAGCAAGCACAGTGGATGTTTGTTCAACAAACCATGCACAGAAATGGGAGCGGTTAACCAATGAATTTCATGGCTTCTCCTGAAATCTCAAGTGGATTTATGAGCACTGTATTAGACTGGATGATTACTCGTATCATCTCTAAGCTCATTTAGTCCGAATAAGCAAAGGGGAGAGAGATAATGAGGAGACTACTATTAGTCCTATCTACGATTTCTAGGCTTTCTGGTAAAATTAACCTCAGGAAAATCTGCTAACCAACTGATAATAATGACTGGTTTTATCTTATTGAGCATATTTATTTACAATGAATGTAGCCGTAAGCTCGATCAAAATACACATCAGATGTGACAGTTTGGGTCCTAGATCCACACCACCCCCTACCCTTCCTCCCCCCCC